GTACCATAGACTAGTTCCTGGCGTGATGGACTCTAGATCAAATGGTCCTGATAATATGATTAACTGCGTTATCGTTTTTTGCAAACAAAAAATGTAAACATCTAAACTCAGGTAAAGGAACCGAAGAATCCACTTTGGGCAAAGATTCTTCGGTTCCTTTGATGCCCCATGATCCGAGACATCTTGAATTAATCTGTTTAGAAAAGAAACGCAAATCCGTCTTCGGATTTAAGAATCCAATCTTGGATTTTCTTAAAGCAACGCATCCTTACTTTTGAGTCACACACGCGAGCGAAAAGCGAGTCAGCGAGCACAGCGATTCGGCCTGGAGGAGTCTGGTGCTGGGAGCAGTCTGGCCTTGCGCTTGCGTGTGTGCTTCCCAAAAGCGAGCCTGCTCGCAGGCTATGGATAATGCTATTGACCGAATGAATTGGACATCCGGACGAGGAGTAAAAGTAGGCACCGACAGATGCTAGGACAACCTGACGAAACAGAATTCTGAGGAGTAACCTGGGATGGACTCAAAGATCATCCAGAGACGAGTAGCAACTCTTCCAGTCACTATATGCTACAGATAGCGGTTAAAATCGTTTTGAAACTGTGCAAAAGGCTTATCGTTTAATAACTCTTCTTTTTAAATTTGTCATTAGGTTCTCGCTATTACAACGCCGGACCACACATTCCTCGAAGCAACAATACGTTAAATCTGCTCTCGTCGAGTCCTCAAGGCACAATCGTGTCGCCAGCTTATGAGTTCCGGCACGACGGTACAGTTACTGAATGGGAGTTTGAAGGAGCAAAGACTGGAAACGTGAGACTACAGGTTGGTTAAATGATAGTAGCATTGCAGCTTAAGAGCGGTTTTCAACGTGTAGTAAAAGCAAAGCTAATGTAATCACTCTAGCCAATTATAAAGGACACAGACATTCCCATGAACCAATCAAAACTTGCATATAAAAACGTGTAGCTGACGCGAAGAGCGGGAAAACGAGTGCGAGCGAGTGACGATTGACTTTGGGTTCACTTCCTATTGGATGAAAAGTGACGCGAGTTTTTTTTTTTAAGCCAGTCGTGTAGCGTAATAATGTAAGAACTAATTTTCGACACTCAAATGAAAATCGCGCCACAGCTGCTGTTGTTATGTAAGGTTAATTAAGGTGTAAGAGCGGGAAATTATGTTTGAAATGAAACGTGGGAGACTGGAATTTCAAGAAACCACTCACTGAGTCCACAGTATCAGTAATATCCTCTACATTCAGCAGAATGACTGGCATTTTTGGAAAATCGTCGGTGAAACCCACGAGGAGTTTCCGATTATCATCATCCAATTATTAACGATCGCGAGTACTCACGAGCCAGGCTCCGAATACAGCCGAGTCAACATTGCGCAATGTGGAAAAACGTGACGCCGCTTAGCAATGTTTGAGGCAAAAGCAGCAGACTCAATTTTTGTAGGCAAGACTTCACCACTAACTTATGCTTCTTCTTTCGATTGCGTAGATTTTAGTGTAATCTTTTTTTCAAAAAAATCTTTTCAGATTTTCCGTCCACGGTGCTATAATGGCGAAAAGTACTGTCTTTCAAACAAGTCCTGCGTGCCGGAGAATGAAACCTGTGATCCCACTAACAAGAACACGTGCCAATCGATGGAAATCTTCTGCATTTACAGACGGCGCTGCATAGCAAACACGACAGAGACTAGGAAAACATGTGCACCATTGGTGCCATATCAAACAGACGTACCCAAGGCGGATTACGAGCTCGTGTCAGAAAATCGAATCACGATCGACACACTGGGCCATCACATCAAAAGCTTACCGATTGAAGAGCAGCCCTTGGTAAAACAAGGCGATGTTCTTGGCTGGATATCGGAGGGCGGAGAGCTTGCGTTTAGGTCGATAACGCCTGCAGACGGCGCAGCATTTGAATTCGAGTACAACAGCAATCCAGTGCCTGGAGAAAAATTGCTGAGGTCGAGCAATCCCAGCATGCACCACAAGCACTACATCATGGCGGCGCACTACGTCCACGCCGCCGACTTTGTCATAAGACATTTCTACCAGTCCACCGGAGTAAAACATTTGACGTCGAACGTCACGCAAACCGTGCTTGTTGCCATCGATATTCCCGTGGCTGGTGACGTCAAGATGACGCATCGTGGTGTCGTGAACACGCACGAGGCTGTAGTGTTTGGTGTTCCTTGGCATTCTGGGTCGAACGTGTCTTACATTTGGGACTTTGGGGACGGGAACAAATTACGCACTCAGGTTAACTCGACAAACCACACATACATATCCTCTGGAACGTATTACGTTACCCTGACCGTGGCGAACTCTGTAAATAAAATCAATGTTGCGTCGGTCATTGCCGTTTTCGACTTCATTAGGGGTTTTAAGTTCTCGAAGCCCATCGAGGCCAAGGCGGTTGGTTTGATGACCGAGATTGAGTGGGAAGCGGCCGAGGGTACCAACATTACTTATGTGGTGGATTTTGGCGATGGAAGCCAACGATATGAAAAGGTCACTGCACTGGAAGCGAGTCGAAACTGCTCCACCACTCATCTGTATTCTGCAGTTGGGAATTACACAGTCACGGTTTTCGCATTCAACTTGGTTGGACCGAACATTTCCATAAGCTCCCAGGCTCTGGTGGAAATCCCAATTTCAGAAGTCGAGTTCACTCTCCCCGCTGCGCATGTCACAAAGAACGTCTTCTACGCAGTGGGTGATTTAGTGACTGTCCATCGGGTCGTACACAATGGCACTAATGTCAAATGCGCTTTTGATTTCAAAGATGGCACGCAGCCTAGAATAAGCACCCAGTTCAGCACAACCCACATTTATAAAGACACTGGAACGTACAAGGTCGAGATCACGTGTTACAATGCAGTGAACTCTGTCACACGACTTCTCAACGCCACTATTGTAATACAGAATCTTGAAAACATCACGGGACTTACTATAAGTGCGCACCCGACCACTCTTGGCACAGACTCGGAGATCACTGTCCAGATGGCAACTGGGACCATATTCTTCTGTACTGTAAGCTTTGGTGACAGTGAGAGCCTCCAAATCGACTTCTCCCATCTTGGACAGATTCTTCGCCACCGTTACTCAGAAGTTGGTTCCTATAATACATCAGTAAATTGTAACAATCGCTTGGGCAGTGAAGAAAACAAACTCACGCTAGATGTAGATATTCCAATAAAGGACGTAACTGTTACAGGCGACAAGAGGTTCATCCGGGTACATGAAAACATCTCGGTAGATGTCGCAGTCAGAGAAGGTTCCCGGATAAGATACGAGTGGGATTTCAGTGACGGAAGCAGATACGGCGCTTACCGCACCCTGGCAAAACAAGACGAGTTTGAATCGACAACGCACGCGTTTACTGAAGATGGGAACTTTCCTGTGAAAGTTACAGTTTTAAATTCCTTGTTTCATGTCTCGATGATTTTGCCTTACACTCTGGTAGTGGAGTATCCTGTTGCTAATATTTCTCTGTCTACAAACAGCCCAATAAGGCTGAACCCTGGTCAAGTAACATATCACTTAAGTCTGTTAGCCAACGTCACGCCCCCGACCGACGCGGTATGTGTTTGGAATTTTGATGACGAGAGTAGTCTTACAGACAGCGAGACTTTTGACATTTCGCCCGTTCAGCCCTACGTGAGGAAGCACACGTTTGGGCAGGAGGGAATTTTTACAACTTCTGTAAATATTTCCAACAATGTTAGCAGCCTGGTGCTATCAGCTGCAATCGACGTGCAAGAGCTAAAGGAAGTCAGCATAACTGCAAGACGACTCGAGGATGGAGTGCTCATCGACGGCTTTGGAGGGTTGAAGAACTTTTTCCGTTTCAATGAAAACGTGTTTTTCAACGTAACATCTCAAGCAAAAGACCTCAGTTATGAATGGGACTTCGCTGATGGTTCACCGCTGCAGGTCACTTCAGAGCCTTACACATCACATGTTTATAGCCGCTCTGCGACATACGAAGTCAGAGTGACGGTGGACAACATTTTAGCGAACATGACTGCGACCAAACACATCGCAATAGAGGAGCCTGTTGGAAAGATATCGATCAGTTCCAGTTATCCCACATACAAAGGCGATCCGACGCATTTTTTTATACTCTTCGAGGAACCTGGAACAGATTCATGCCTGAGGCTTGATTTTCAAGATTCTTCTGTGAAGTTAATAGGAGAACAACGCTGCAGACCGCCGGTTACGTTCAGTAATTCCAGTTTCCACGAACTGAGAGCCAACCAGACACGCATAAACGTCACACATACATATGGTAGCATGGGCGCGTACCCTGTCAAGCTAACGGCTTACAACACTGTCTCGAAGAAAGTTGCAAGCACACTTGTGAACATAACAAGCAGCCCATGCGATAAACCCACAGTGACAATTGTTGGGGAAGATTTCAAGGATCCACCAGAAAAGATTCAAAAGTCTGAGATGCTAGTATTGAAACATAAGGTCACCTACAGGTGCCCTGTGGCGGCTAGCCTCGTATTTACGTGGAGCGCATTCATAGTGACTCGGGACAATCCCAATAACGAGAGTATTCCTTTGCAGTTACCCGTAGACCAAGTTCGCAACGTCAGTGTTCCCGCCACTGCGGACGCTCTTCGTTCAGCGGATTTGATAATAAAGGAAAGGAAGCTTCCGTTTGCCTTCATCAAGTTCCGTCTCAAACTGGGCTTCATCGGAAAGGATCGTAATTTGTCGGAGATCTACGACACCTACATTGTGTTTATTGAAGTAAAGCGATCAGACATGTCTGCTGTTATCAGAGGTATGGAGTAGAGAAAGAGCCGTCCGTATACCCGGCCCTAGTTGTTCGAAGGCTGGTAACGCTATCCGCCGGATAAATCTCCATCGAGTGGATAAGTGTTAACAAAAAGAACCACGCTATCCGCTGGATGGTGATATATCCACTGGACAGCGGTTTCCGCCTTTCGAACAACCCTGGCCTGTCGTCTCAGTGCATCAATTGAGCATGATGGGGGGGTTCAGGGGAGAGGTAGGAGGGAGAATTACTGGAAAAAGTTTAAAAATAAAGAGGCTCTTTCCCCGGATTTAACTTTAATATTGTTTTTTTATGTAAGTGGTAACCTTTTCATATACTTTCCGTACAAAATGGTAGCCTTTTCGCATAGCTACAGTAAACACTGAATAGCTTTTCTTTACCCAGCCCTTGGACTATTCGAAGCATTTTAATAGATTCCTTTCAATCCTTACGGGCAATTTTTTTTCCTATCCTTTCCTGTGTTAAAATTCGTTGAACCGTTACCCTGTTAAATGTGCTCCTAGCTTGGAGACCTACTCCGTCCGGGAGCCCCTCCTCGCACCATTATAGAAACTAACCGGGACGGGAGTAATAACTTGTATGACTAGATAACCTGTGATGGACTGGCATCCCATTCGGGAAGATTGAGGAGGGGTGAGGGGTGAGGGGTGAGGGGAGRGGGGTGGAGGGAAATATACAGCGACACTATGAATCTCTTCACGCTATCAGTAGGGAGATGAGGACCGTTTGTTTACCAGTGAACAAAGTTGTCTCAATGTTTCATTTTACAGGAAGTGTGAAGCGTTCGGTTGGTTATCAATTGCCCTTGACTCTGGACGCATCAGATTCAAAAGACCCTGATTTTCCTGATGACAAGAGTGGAATCACATTCACTTGGATGTGCAAAAAGAAAGAAGAGGAATTTCCCGCGTCCATTTACTTCCAAAGTGATAGTGGTGGCTGTTGGGAGAATGGAACCTATGTTTTCGGTGGAGACAATAGCGTCGTCACCGTATTCACGGGTGATTTCTACCAAAAGTCTCTTTATGATTTTAGGGTTATAGTTAGAAAGGAAAGCCGCAGGGCCCAGTTTGACCAAACTGTGGAGGTTCTTATAGGACAACCGCCTACTATGGTGATTGAGTAAGTGTCTTTTCTGTCAAATTGACGTGTACATATGCAGCTGTTTTGACAAAGCTTGTCCCAAAAAGCGTAGACAGGTGCACGGGTGTTACGGGTTGTAACTGTTTGGCGTTGCTTGCTGTAGTTCACAGTGTTTCAACAAGAAGGAAGACGATAGCGTGAATACGCGTGTTTGTGCTGTTTCCTTCTGTCACGCTGAAAAACCTTTAGCGTGAGTCAAGCAGGATGCAGCGTGGCCAACTGGGTAAGGCGCCGGACGTGAAATCCGGAGATCGCGGGCTCAAGTCCGGCTCTGACCGCTAAGCTGGAGTTGTTTCTCGGTAGACCCCAGTCCATCTCCTCGGTCATGCATGTAAATAGCCAACTGGTCTGCCCCCCGCCAGTTTTAAGCCTATTATGTTACATTAAGATATTTCTTTCTTTCAGTTTAAGTGACAAGCCTGTGATCTAGCTAGGTGTAGCTAAGCTCATTGACCACTATAAACAACAACTTTTTTTTTGAAGCAACAATGAACCACCATTAACCATGATAACTTTCGCCATTGCCGCGCAAGCTTTCACGCTGTGATAGGACAAACTTTCTCGAAACATTTTAGAAGCGATTTACATATAGATAACCCTCTGATCACGAGGGAAAGAAAACAGACAACAATCTCAGAGACAACAGTTTTCCAGAATTTTCCCGTTACCTAAAATGGAAGATCCTTGATGGAATTGAAGACAAAAGGCTAAAACTTCCTTACGTCAGAGATGTTAAAGCTATAGATAAGATTTACATGTAACTTATTCATTAATGCTTTTATTTTTTCTCCAGTTTCTCAGTGGTTCGAAATCCTAAATCCTTGAATCTGATTGGCCAATCGTGCGCGCTCCTGCGGTCTGGAAAAAAATAGACACGTTATTCGCCGGCCTTAGTTGGTCCGTATTGGGAAAAATTGTGCCTGCGGCCTCGGGTCGTATTCAAGACCTCGGTCACAGTTTTTCCCAATACGGACCTCCCGGCCGGTAAATAACATATATGTATCTGATTGGTTGTTGTAGCATAACTCTATTTTGATTGACCTTGATTAGTAAGAGTATAACACATGAATTACTCAAAGCACTTGATGCCAAAAGCAAATTTTAAAAACTTTAACTAATTGAAGACTTTACTTCCTTCAACTGTGAGCCACATTCCCACGAAAGACTGATAAAAATTAAGTTTGTTACGCGTGACCGCTGAGTTAAGAGTATCGAGAACCTATCGAACAAGAGATAGCTGGCTGACCTGGAGTTCCTAGACCGCTCTGCCATGTTTAGTACCTCCCAGGGAGGAGTAGAAATACAGCCCTAGTCGGTTAATAGGGAGCTTAGGCAAACCACGACGACGACAGCAACGAGAACGTCGCTAAACAAAAGGTTTAATGAGCAGAACCATAGCTGTGCACGTGCGTTATAAATCTTTGTACATTTCTTAGCCGTCCTCTGCAAAACAACAACGTGAAATGGCCAACTTCTGCGTATTTTGGAGAACGTAGGCCCAGACGGCAAGTTTTTCGCATTTCTTTTTGGAATTGATCGCTGGTATTGCATACTTAGTTTGAGCAGGTTTTCAGACCAATTGGCGAACTGAGCAGATTCAGATAGTTCCAAAATTCGGAGGTAAAATATAAATCTATCTCGTCCCTGGCGTCGCCGTCGTCATTGCTCAAGGTTACTAATGTTGCTGAAACCAGAGATAAGCACCGGCCTGATGGGCTACTTGGGTCATATGTAGACTTTACCTTAGTTGATAGATTAATGAAAGGATTCCATTGCCTTCCCACCAGGACTGTCTTCAACATTCTTGAAAAGAAAAATCCTTTTGAGAGACTCATTCTGGAAAGCCGTTGCATAGACTGCAAGTTTGGTGAACGGCTGGGGTACATGTGGAAACTGTCCCTGTTAATAGGAGACAACAAGGATGAAGACAGCTCATGGCAAGAGAAAGAGGACTGGAAAGATTACACAGAAGCTACTGGATTGCAATCACCAAGCTTAGTCCTAGAAGCTGAATATCTTCTTCCCGGTAAAATCTACAGGCTTCAACTAAATGCCTGGAGACTAGGGGGATTCCCAGGGGGATATGTGATAGAAGAGATAATCATTAACATTGCCCCAGTGAGTGGCCGGTGTAGCGTCCCTCTGGAGGAAGGTTTCGCTTTGGAAACGCCCTTCAACGTCAAATGCGAAGGCTGGACCGACCCAGATGTACCCCTCACATATTTGATTGGTAAGTTTATTTAATGGCACTATACTCTGTAAGCTGTAAAAGCTCTATTGAGAGCCCTCCCCCCCCCCCCCACCACCCGTCCGAAGGTTGCGCATTTCTTTAAAAAACTTCTCTCCATGAGGGCTTATTTGACTTCATTAAGTTCCCCCCTCCACCGTCCGAAGGTTGCTCATTTTCTTTAAAAACGTCTCTCCATGAGGGCTTATTTGAGTTCGTTAAGTCCCCCCCCTCCCCCCACCGTCTGAAGGTAACACATT